CTAATTGCAGGCGTAATCCTTCTTACCCTTTTTATGTAGGGGAACAACATTTGCTTGTCGCCAGTCTAACGGAATAACACCAAATTCCAAAGAAGAGTTGAATAACTTTACTAGGGAGGGCGCAAGGATATCAGCGGCTCAAAATCCTCAAAATTTGTTTTGTAATATAGATAGATTTTTCTGTTTTCTCTTCTCACACCTCTAGGAGCGCACTGCACAGCCCATATAATGGCGTCGTGGTCGCTTACTCCTGGGATTACATGGACATCAGTAATATTTCCAGGACATGATGTGAGTAGGAGGTCAAGTATGTTTTTACTTGTGTCAGCAACCCTGGTTGGCTCATTAACGTGCTGGAATAGATTAAATTGCTCTACAATGGACACAAATTTATGAATAAGTTCATTGTTACTGAACTTCATTGGGTAACCTCCTGTCACAAATGTTCGACCACGTCGAAAGGTGTAATTATACAGGATATTACTATAGTAGTGGCAACCATTATCAAAACTATTTACAAAATAATGACCACTCCATATCTTGACACAGCTAATCTTTAAAAGTGATCAATGCAACCATAAATCCAAGCTCTATAATACATTTTCGTTACTCCAGTAAACACTTATCTTAACCCTAACAGTCCTAAATCCTTCACCTGTTGGAGGATTGAGGACTGTTAGGGTTAATGTAAATACGTGTAACTGCAAAATTTACTCTATTTCAAAATAAACTTACAGGTTGCGTAGACACCTGGTTCTGGGAAATCTTGCGTCTCAAGTATTTTTTTTTTTTTTGGCCTTGCGTATCGGTCGGAACGCATCTTCACCGATACACTAGCTTCCAATCATTAAGTTCTTCAGCGCAACTGGCTGGATTCTCGCAGTTTCAAACTCAATTACAGCAAAATCATCGAGGCTGGAAAGACGTGCCCTCTCCTCGGACTCTCCGACGCAAGTCCCCTTCTTTACACCCCGAAAATTGTTTAAAACTCCGCCAAATTTCTACCTGGGACACCCTCAATCCTTTTGTTGTGTGACCCTGGTGACCTCATAAGAAAGGACTTACTCAAGCAAGAGTCGCGCTATCCAATGGGGTTTGTCTGTTCTCCCCGCGAAACTATCTAATTTAAATAAAATCAACAATTTGTTTCTGTCAACGCACACTCAAGTTATCTTATATGTTTGGCTCCCATGCGTAAACAGACTCTAGAGTTATTTCTCTTGAACAACTTAATCTCACTTCGTGACACCTTCATCCCATCGAATTTTAGGCATGTTAAAATCACCAGCTAGAATAATGCCTCTCTGCTTCACCCCATTCTTACTTAGTGTCATCAGGGATTTGTTTCATTCAGTGATTGAAAATAAATCAGTCTCAGGTGGTCTGTAGTAAACACCGATTATCGTGGGGGTATTCTTACAGACCACTTCACACCACAAAACTTCACAATCAGTATCTAGGTCTGGGCGGTGGTGGATGGGTAAACTATTTTTCCAAAACGCCACCACCGTATCTATTTCTGTCCTTTCTAATGACCGTATAATTATCAGGAAAAAGTTCACTAGAACGAATTTCCATACTTTGGTGAGATTCTGTGATACAGATTACATCAGGATCTTTTGTGTTAGGAGATAGATCACGACTGTATTTTGGTTAGAAAGCCATTGATTGGGCTGAATGAGTCGGCCTATAATGGATACGTGTCATACATTCTTCGTAATTATTCCACGACTCTCTTATCTGTTTAAAGTCAATCGGTAATTTTTGCTCTTTTTACGGGATTTGTGCATCTTATAACATCACTCTACGTAATTCTCTAATCTCAAAAGTACTTCGTACAAAACTACATAATTATTTGTCTTCGTGGGTGCTAGGGTTGTTTTATCATACTTTCCAAAATTCTTAGCGCGCTTTCTTTTTTTTTCCAAATAGGAAGAGCAATTAAATTTCAAATGTTATACTCTTTTTTTTACGTATATATACAGGCCTTATCTATGCATACTACTAAAATCTTTCAGTTTTTAATCGCAGGTTTAACTTGCAAGAATTTATATCAAGAACAAACCAACTTGTATCAGCAAAAAGGACCAGTTGTAGTTCTGGAAAGCTGGGATTCTGAACTGAGTTATGGCATCAACACTTCTACTGATGTTGCTATTATGATAACTGTAATATGCCTGTAGGCCTGATCGGTTTACTCTTTGGAGCATTCGGGACATACTGGTCCATTTGACCCTTCCTGTTGGCCATTCTCAAGATAGAACACGTGACCCCGAGGGCATCTCAGCCATCTGCCGACAGCAAAGGACCAGGTTGGTGTAGCACTCTTATTGCCCAAAGATCGATATACTCTGGATAATCTTCCGGTGGGGCTATCTTTCCTCGCTTGGTCGCACTTCAATTTGGCTGCTTCCACAGATTTCTTGATAATGTGAAGGATGTCGTCGTAACGGGGGCAGTTTAGTACGGGTTCCTTGCATTTGGGACAAACTAGGGAACGAATCTCATAGCATCCGTTTTTTACGGGTTTAAGGAAACAGGCTGCTATCTTATCCAAGAGTCGAGTCTCACAGAGATGGCCGCAATCAGGTAAATAGATGAAAGTTTCTTTTTGACGTATGTGCTTATTGAGAAGGTTATCTTTATACAAGTACTTGTCACAGACGCTGCAATATGGTGGACAAGGCTCACCACACACGCCAACACACTCATGACGGCATGAGCGTTTATGTGCACAACGAAGAATGCACGCCTTAGATTTCAGCTGACGGTTTGTGATGCCGTGTGGACATGGGAAGGTCTTCAGGTCCCGGCCCCGCAACTCGCGTCTACACAAGAGAGAAGGCCTAACTTTGTATTCGTCTGTACAGCTTTTGCAGTCTGATGGACAATCTCTGCCACAAATATCCCTACAGGAGTGACCACAAAGAAGCTGCCGCTTACACTTTCCAGTACACGTTACGTGTTGTCTGCCTTCGTGGCAGTCATCACAATTACCACTACACGTGTGGCCGCACGATAAGATGGCAGTGCATGACACCAAACATGGTTTGGTGGAGTTCTGTAACCAGCAAGCCACTTCTTGAGAATGCCCGCACGGCAAGATCTTCTGGACGTTTACTTTGCACTTTGTATAGAGTGGCCGGTGCTTTGCCTCTTCATCTTCACTTGAGAAAGCATCTTCTTCGACGCAATTACTGCAAGTGTTGGGGCATTGGTGACCGCATGGAAGAATCTCTTCACACCTTTCTTTGCATCTCACCGTACTAATATCTTTGTAGCAGGGAAGGTCGACACTGTGGTAACATTCGATGAACTCCTTTCTCACGATTTCAGTGCATCTTCTTGCTGGGATTCGAGTCCCTGACAAGCCAAGCGAACTTCCTGGCTCATCCTCGTCTGTCAAACTGTCCTCTTCTCCAGGGCAGGGCTCACTGCATTTATTGGGGCATTGATGTCCACAAATAAGCTTCCTTTGACAATGCTCTTTGCATTCATAGGAACTGGGGTCTTGATGGCAGGGAAGCTGAGTGAAATGTCTGCAATTGGGCAACTTCTTCAGAACGCTACGAAAACACTTGCAAGGCATTCCACATTTATTCTGACAGACGTGGCCACACGATAACTTCTTGCCACAGATTTCAGAACAGGATAGTAACGAAACATCCTTGAAGCACTCAACCTTAGCAGTGTGGCCACACCCAGGGAGCGTCTTCTCGACAAGTTGTTTACACTTCGTCGAGAACCTTACTGAGGATATATTTGCCAATGCAACGCTTGGGCACGGTTCGCCACATCTGTTTGGACACGCATGACCGCATGGCAAAAATTTCCCGCATTTTTCTCTGCAAAATGAAGAAAAGCCCATCCCATGCTCGACATAAAGTGTCATGAACGTGCTACTCAGGTTGTCTCTGGGACAAGGCTGAGAGCATTTTTTAGGACACCTATGACCACAAACCAACAACTTCCCACATGTACTAGTGCAGGGGACCTGGGACACATCTTTGTGACAAGGTAGCTTGACGACGTGACTGCATGAGGGATAAGTTTTCTCAACATCTACCTCACAAAGTTTTATTCCAAACATCTCAAGATTGAAGGTGATCTTACTATTTGTATCTCCAGACACAGTGCATGGCTTCCCACATTTATTTGGGCACTGATGGCCACAACAAAGTATTTTGTCACACCTCTCAGTGCATTCTTTAGAATCAGGATCAATGAAGCAGGACATTGCTTTCAGATGACCACACTTTCGTCGTTTAATCACAGACATCTTGCACTGTACCTGCTCAGGATCTTCACAGCAGGCTACGACAACATAGTGACCGCATACTGGGTGTGCTTTCTTCACACGTGCATTGCACTCAATATCGTCCAGGTCTTTGTCGCAGTCCATGACGACTTCGTGTCCACATGTCGGTAATATTCTCTTGATCTTGACTAAACAATACTGTGTGCAGATTTCGCTACAAAGCTCTTTGCATGGATGGCCGCAGGCCAATTTCCTTTCACATTTTTCAGGACAAACCTCAGGACATCTGTCACCGCATTTTTTTCGGCAAAGGTGCTTACAGCCTTCAAAGCGCCTAAGGCATGGTTTCGGACAGGAGATTTCAATCTGGCTGCAGTCCATGAAAACCTTGTGACCGCACTTTTCCAAAGTTCTCTCCACCTGAACCTTGCAATACGTGTCGCACGGTAGGCCACAGAGTCCCAAGCATGGATGGCCACACCCAAGTGACTTCTCACATTTTTCTGGACATGTCATAGAACAGAGTTCACCACATTTCTTTCGACAAGGATGACCACAGTTGGCAAAAAGCTTCGGGCATGGCTCAGGGCAAGATACCGTGTCGAACTGACAACACGAAACTTGAATGCCATGTCCACACCCAGGCATAAGTTTCTGAACCTTTTCTTGGCAGGGGTTACACTTTTGATAACATTCCAACAAGCATTTATGCTCTCCTCGTTCACAGTATCTGTTGCAAGGTCTGTGACATTTGTAATCCAAGTGGTTGGGATCATACGGGTGGCAAGACAAATGGCAAACATGGCCGCATAGCAGACTGTAATCACAAGACTTGTCACACCCACCACAAGGGACCTTCTCCTTAAAGTCTTTGGCTGTGGTAACTTGTGAGATTTTGTTGGGATGATTCTGACACACCAATGGCAATGACCAGTCAATTTTATTCTGAGCCTCCATGGTAGAAATGATGTCATGCCAAACTGGTGCTTTCTTCAAGATAGTAAAATTTCCAATGCAGTAAAAACCCATTCGAGCCCTTGAAAGCGCCACACAGACACGGTTAGAAGTGCGCAGAAACCCAATGGAGCCTTCCTCGTTACTACGTACCAGAGACAATAGTATAATATCGTTCTCCTCACCCTGAAAATTGTCTACAACAGTCACCCGAACCCCGTCAAAGGTTGCTCTATCCATGAGTCGCTTGATACAGAACATCTGACCTTTGTAAGTCGTCAGTATGGTGACCTGGGAGCGCTGGTAACCTTGATCTAACAGGTACTTGCATAGACCAACCAGGACTTCTGCTTCATGCTGATTAGATCTGGTTCTATTGTCATCAAGGCCATCTTCCAACCGTCGATGGTTTAAGAAAAACATGTTGTTCTGCACTCCCGGAATGTTTCCCATATTCAGTACAGATTCATCATCTTGCAGCCGCTTATAGAAATGCTTCTTCATGAGCTCTGATATTTCGGGGCGCATGCGATGTTGAAGCGACAGCGAATTGCAAGGCATGCCATTGTTGATCATTCTCTCGAACAAGGAGGTGTCTAAGTTGAACAGCTTCGCGAGGCGATAAACGGTTGGGTTGGGCTTCAACTGTTGATGGTCACCGATGAGAATGAGATGCTGACACTTTGCAGTCAGGGTTGTGATGATGTGCGCCTCCAATACCTCGGCAGCTTCTTCTATTACCACAACAAGTGGCCCAAGAAGCTGAAGTACGTTGCGACATCTTGCAGCGCCCGTTGTCGTCATACCAATCACATTAGCTTTGCGGAGGATCTCGAGGTCTTCCTGAGCTTTCAAAGTTTCAATCGCCTCGGACAACGCCATGTATCTTTGCCGAAGCCCACTCAGTTCTGCCCCATGTTTCTCCTTGTACAGTTTGATCCAGAGCCTGTAGAGACGCCAGCGATCATGCAACTTTAGTTTCCAGATTCGTCGAGTTTTGGCTGCCTCGTGACCCGTCATTGTGTCGGATTTCTCCATCTCTGCTACTGACTTGGAGTCTAGAGTATGCTCAGAGCTGTGTGCAGCGTCTTCATAAAAAATCTTGCTCTCAAGAGTTTTCCTGCGTTGATCACGATCCTCGACAAAATCCTCAGAATCGTCAAATTGACGCTCTCGCTGAATCTCCGCTCCCTCATCATCAACCTCCATGAATTCCTTAGTATCATCAGTAGTTCCCGACGGGTTCTGCTCTGGATCAGCAACTTCTCCCTGAGACTGTTCAGTAGAACCATCACCAACCTCGAGCCAGAGCATAAGATTTGATGATTTTTCTATTGATTTCTCCTTCATCTGAGGAACCTTTGAAGAGAGGTCCCTAAAGTTGCCGGGGCTCATCAAATCTCTCAGCGCCATTACGTCAATGATAGCCTTGTTTGGAAGATCAAGTTTAAGGAGTGTGCGTTGAATTGCCTCATCAAGTTGTGCTAGTTCTTTACTCATTTGTTGGAGTCTGCTTTTCTCTTCCCGATACTCCTTGGATGGCCTCTGCTTTCTCAAACGGGACAGGCTCTTATTCTCAAGTTTTTCACTAGAGCTCCGGTTTCCAACACGAACTACCTTCTGTTCTCCAAAGTCCATGATACCCTCAAGAAACTGATCCAGGGCGTGATTTGTGTAGCACACCACAAGGATTGGTGAAGTTTTTACTTCCTCAGTTTGGTTGTTACTCCAGGGGGTGTTATATAGAAGTAGTTCAACTATCTTCAAACCTATGTATGTCTTCCCTGTACCCGGAGGTCCTTGTATGATGGCAAACTCCCTAGTGAGAGCTGTTTGCAAGGCATCTTTCTGGGAGTCGTCAAGGTGTAGAACCTCTGCATTCGGCCAACTCTCACTATCCAAGATTGGTACATAGGCTGCCGCTACAATTTGCTTTGCTTCAAGGTTGTTGGAATTAGACTTCTCATCAGAACAAGTAAGTAGTGGTCTCAGATCGTATGTAACTTCTTCATCAACTTTCAGATACTGAGGTGGCTGAACTTGTTTGGCGACATCAACGATATATTTCCTGAAGGGAAAATTCTCTTCGTTCATCTGCTGGAGCCCTAGGAGCACGTGACGATAGGCCTCAAAATAA